CGGCGAAAAAGTGGCGAGCGTTTTCCCATAGGAATGCATGGGGGACGCAGAAAAAAAGGCACAAAAAAAGCCGAAAGATGAGGCCCGTCAGGGCCTCATCGCTCGGGCCCAGAGCGTCCGAGAGACGTCGTTCGAACATTGAACGGGACACGAAAGACGGGCCTCCGCCATATCGGAGCCACGAGGCCAGATCTCGCACCGTTTGCCCGCAATCGCTGTTGACGTTTTAGTGAAATTCAGAAAATCAGAGATCCTGGCCCGCACTCTAATTCAGCTCGTTAAGAGCTCTCAGAGTCCAGTGGGGAGGTTCACTGAAAAAAAGTCAAACTTTAGCCTCTCGTGACCAATCCGTGGGGCCGAGCGGTGCCAAAATGGCCTCAAAACGTAGCCGCGAGTGTCCTCTTTCGCCCGATGTGCCCGGTTTGGACCTCGGCCTTACGGTTCTCCGGCAATCGGGCCCAGAGTTCAGACTTTCCAGACCCTCTCCAATAGGATTTTAATGGAAGAAAGGAGAGATTTTTTTTCACCAGAGACAAAACGACCCTCATTTTGAAATTGCCATAAAAAAATAACCGCTGGGAGCAGGCGAAAAATAAACAGATGTGCTGAGACGTGAAAGTCTCAGCCCGCTCACGGTCCAAGAATTGTTCAGTTTTGTGTTATAGTTTTCGAACAGCGTACAGCCGTTCGGAGGCAACGTTTGATAGAAACTGCCACTTCTCTGTGTCAGAACTGCGGCTTACTGATGAGTCACAGGTGTGGGAGCAGAGACTTTGGCCTGGCTGCTGTCGCCATGGCGACCACCAGAGAGCCACAGCAGCACTGTGGCTCTCTGCAGACCTCTGTGGGCTGTGAGCTTAAAGGCGGGCGAAGCCCGCTCTCAGTGATTTTTTAAGAAATACGTTTTTTCCTGTTTCGAGGCGGGCGAAGCCCGCTTAGAGGGGTTTAGTCAGAGCCCGGTTCTGGTTCTGGTTCTAGGGATCGGACCGGACCGGGTCGGAACCAGACTGGGGCCATGTCATACTCCTGGTTCAAGGCGGGCGAAGCCCGCTCTCAATGATTTTTAAAGAAATACGTTATTTGTGATTCAAGGCGGGCGAAGCCAGCTTAGGGGGCTTTAGTCAGAGCCCGGTTCTGGTTCCGGTTCTAGGGATAGGACCCAACCGGGTCGGAACCGGACCGGGGCCATGTCATACCTCGTTGCGTAGGTCTTTTTCTCAGCTTTCAAGCAATGTGACCCCCGACCTGCCCACCCCATCCGCATTCGGTCAGCGGGCCCCAGAGCTCAGCCGGGTCCCTCCATCACTGCGTCTCTCCCTCAGGCCCTCTCATAGGCGCGAGCCCACATTACAGAGGGCCCAAATATCGATTGGCCGACCCGCCCCGGGTTCCCGGACGGGCAACGGGTGGCCCCCCTCCAAAATTTCTTCAGAAATTTTCTAGTTAATTTTTTCAATCTCAGGCAGCTCAGCAACAACTACCAACCTAATCACTGAGGAGAAAAAGAAACACCTTGGCTCCAAATCTCTTTCCAAAAATACCGGTTCAATACAGGATCCGGTTATTGTATTGGACAACTTGGAACCACCCAGATTTTGTTTCCTTGAAAGTGTTGCTAACAGAAACTGGATCGGTTTCAGGATTAAGAAGGAGCTCCACAGTCCCCACCTATTGGCTCTTTAATAATATTTTGAAACCAAAATGAGAAAACCCAATGGAGACCTATGGCACATGGCCAGTTCTAACACAAAGTACATGAGGAAAAAAAAGATTTGTTTGGGAAGGAAGCCTCCTTCAAGGAGACTGGGGCGACTGTTTCCTGAAACGCAGCAAAAAAACAAATACACTACAGAAGTTAAGAAGCAGTGACTAAGAGAAGCTTGACTATAAAGAAATCAATTTTGGACTAATTTCTTCAACTGCGTAACTGGCAAAAATATATATATAAAGGGATGTCTTGACATTTATGGAAACTTAATTGTTCAGAGAGATATGCTTTTCTCTGGTTCATTAAGATCTCCTATGCTTTGAACCTCGTCTTTAAGCATGTTTGCACTATTCATCATTCCATATATCATTCCATATATTCCATTTATCATGTACATTTTTCAGTCGAAAAACATTGTAACCAAAGTAGAACTGAGTTTTTTTTGTAAACTAGGAAGTGCAAGCAGCATGCATCAATCAGCCACGACAAGGAGACTGTTTGTTTTTTTTCTTCTGACCAGCCCAATTTTACCATTAAATGTGACACTTACAAACTCATTTGTGAAGATAGACAAGTGACTGCAACGCATATCATATTGTATTACTTCTATGGTTCTCTCTGGCCACAGAATTGGCTGCTCTAAAGCTCCTGTTGATTGTAAAGCCTAATTAACATCCTGGAAATCAACTAATACAACATATCACTATTGGAAAATTGACGTTGTTTCACCAGTAATGGCCTGGTGAACACAATTTTAGCATGACCACCCTTATTTAAGAAATAAATCATTTTGTAACATTAAAACTTCTTAAAACACTTCATTTAAAAGAAGAAATATCATCTATTGTCAGTGTGAATGTTAGATTTCATTTGGCAGTTTTCTTTCTTCTGAAAGGTTTACAGCACATTTAACCGAAGGATGGTACTGTGAAAGCATACCACAACATTATCTTGACTGTGGTAAGTGACCTGTCACAGTGATAAGGGTAATGTTCCTAACAAATGGTGCAGATAAATAGGCGAGTGTCAGCTCTGCAGCCTTTGGCTCTCCTCCCCCCCTTCAAATCTCTGCAACTTAATGATAAGCTTATGGTTACTGCCCATTATGATGGCATAAATCTGACAAGATGTGTTGGGGGCAAGAGGTGAGCAAATTCATTTGGTAACTCTTTGCATTACATTAGATTCAATTGATTTAATTAAAGGAAATGAGGCAAACAAACTGAGGTGAAATAATGCTAAGCTGAGGAAAGCCCTCATAAAGCCTCTCTCCTGAGAGGGAATATGGGAATTTATGTTTTCCTTGATGGGTTGACCAAAGAGACCAATTCAACTAACTTTCTGAAGTTCTCTCATGTTTAGACCAGAAAGGAGAAATTTTCTCAGTTTAATACTTTTAAACATTGGATTAATTCAAGAAAATATCGAAACAAGGGGAACAAAAATTATAATTGATCAATATTTGTTGTTACTAAAGTTATTAAAGTTACTAACTATCTGAAATGTTTCTTAGAAGCTTGCGGAACAGATGCCCAGAATTCCATGGTCACCATGGCTCCTGCTCAGGGGCAGGATGGCAGCATCTTTTAAAACAAACAATAACACAAGCGGACCATATAGC